GGGACTGGCCTAGGGCAATTTTTAGAGGGGTTTTTAATCATATTTTAATTAGACAACATTTAAATATTTCTTTTTAACTAATTTTAATTTTGTAATTGTTATTGGTGTATTTTTTAACTGATTGTCAGCCGCCCTGAGTCCGCAAGGAGAAGGGCGGGATATAAATTCAATAAATAATAATAATAATAATAATAATATATTCAGTTTTTCATTTGCTGGCCATCTTCCCGTAAACCCGCTATATCAACTATAACGGAGCTCCCCAACCTTTCCGGGTTGGCAGCCCAGAGGGAAAGGGAGGAGCAGGGAAATGTGCATGCAGGCCTGTGTAAACAGGTGCATGCATGGCGGCTGCACTAGCACCCACGTGCATGCACAAAGTGGGCCATGTGCACTTGCGGCAGCGCTGGTGGCAGCACCCACACTCATGCGCAAACAAGCTGCTAGCGCCCACAGGCTGGCGGTGGCACCAGCACTCCCACGCATGCACAACTGGGGCCGCTAACCAGCCATTCCTGTGACCCGGTAGCCAACAGGCCGCAGCCTGGTACCGGCCCGTGGACCACAGGTTGGAAACCCCTGAACTATAACAGTTAATTCTTTTTACTGAAAAAAGAACAGTAGTCTATGTTCCAGGAAAGCAGACAATGACTTTATAACACTGCAAGTAGAATACATCCCCATTTCTGCCTTGGTTATGATGTAGGGGACAGAGCAACACTTCATGCACTGTGTATACAATGTGGAGTGAGGCCTCACAGCTAGTGTACTGCAGTTGTTAGATCTGGGTCGGTAAATGGGACCCAGCAACGTCATCAATGGCTATATGAATAGAGCATGGGAGTGGAACGGATGGTAGGTAGGGATGCTATGAAAATATTGCCTTTGGTGAGATGGGCAGCATACATGTTTGATAAGTAAAAGATACAATTACAGTGATAATACTATTATCCAGCTAATATGAATATCATCGGTGTGCTGTTGTTGGTTTTGTGAAAAAGTCTAGAGAAGAAGGACTACCAGAAACACTCATTCTATCTTTATTGTATAATTATATTAACAGAATCTTGCAAGTCTGAAAGTCCTCTTCCTGTCCCTCACTTTTGCTCTCCTGAAATTAGGGAAGGTTCCTTCTGGGACACTTTTGGCACCCTTCCTCTTTCAAGCTCTAGTTTAGCCTCTAGACAGGCTGAGGTTCCTCCTCGTGTCTCCCAAGGTCATTCCCAGTTACCATTACAGTTCAGGAAAGATGAAAGATGTCAGACTTGGAGGGGCCCCTTGTTTATTATCAAATCTATCTCCTGGCTTTCTGAATATTCCATTCAGGGCAATTACTACTATAAATCATAAGGCAGCAGGAGTGACTCACAATCTAATGTCATTTGCTAGTCCTTTTCAGGAGCCTTCCTGGTCCTTTCTGTCTCTCCTGATGACAGTCAAATCCAAAATGACTCACTGTGCCATGTGCTGGTTAAAGGTCTGCTGCTTCCTTCTACTATTCCACAACTGGTTTGTTAGGCTGGGAGAGAAGTTGCCCAATGACTTGGTGCTCAAGTGAGGAATTAAACCTGGATTTTTCTTACCTTAAGCCTAAAATTATAACTGTGGGTCCCTGACACTGATTTGTCCTGGTTGCTGTAGTGATCCAAGCAGAAAAACTCAGAAGTCAATTGTTGGATGGAAGAGGCTAGATAGCACTCGATTTATATTGCCCAGAACAGCACAGAAGACTAGAAGCAGCTCAGTTTGAACTGGGAGGGTTGTGTTCCTGGAATGAAATGCTTGAAACAGCCATTTGAAGCTCAACACAGTTCATGCACAGACTGTTTTTCACATCCCTATTAGCACTTAACATTGCTTTTGTACAATTGATTTTCTCATATCTCTATTTATACTCTATGTGTGTGTGTTGCTTTGTACTATATAAATTGTCCTGAAAGTGCCTGGCCGTGCTTCTAGCTTGTCAGTTTTTCTGGTATGCTGCAAAGATTTCATTTTGAATTTTGTATAAAATCTAAGTATTTGATTTTTAATAGCAGAATATAAATCATAACAATATGACTAGTACTGCTATGCAAAATTAAAAAAAAATGACAAAAAGAAGAGGGCTGCAACTGGCTTCTGCTTTTTAATTGCTGGAATTCTTGCATTTAATTGCAAGATTAAATTCTGTCCACAATTACTGCATGTAAAATGAGGATATGCTCATCCCAGAAGTATAAAATTCATCCCTCACAAGAAATGTATTCCAAATTTCAGAAACTGTTTCCTTAGCAACTCAAGCATTCTAAATTGCTACTATATAAAATAGTCTTGTCTCATCTCAAACACATCTGGATGATTTGGGCTGTTATCTATCTAGTATCTAGCCAGTGTGAAATCTAACCTGGCTAGATTAGAGCATCAAGCAGAAGAAAACTAGGCTAACCTAAAGTTCTTATGTTACTTTAATATTGTGCCACTAGGGGGCGTGCTAGCCCTCAATTATTTGGGGCTATTTTAAACTTTGTTCTTTATAAACACAGGAAGGTTTCCCTTCTGCCACACAGTTCAGTGGGGTTTTTTTTTTTAGATAACATATTAAAGACTTTAGCTTTTCTTGCATTCAGACCATTCCTTGACTTCATTACTGGAACAGATAGATGCTAGATGGTATCGAAAAGCAGCTTTACTTGCATACTGTTTTTGTCAGTTACTTACAATGTGGGTTCTCTTTGCATTTGGAGTAACATTTACAAATTTGCTCTAGGTTGCCTGAATTTTGCTCTACTGGTCTATTGAGCTTAATAGTATTTTTCATTAAAATTAACAGTTTTCTTATTA